CAGGCACAAGTGAGTGGTATTTTGTTTCAAGTTAAAAAAAAAAAAAAGGAAAAAGAAAAGAAAGAAAAAGGTTGACATGAGTAGATTAACAAAATCGCTCGGGTCTAAGTTGAACAACATACAGTTCTTTCGACGGTCTAAGGTCAGATGAACCGGATTCATCATACTCCGCTGTAAGGTCACACCTTACAAGAGTATATCTCAATGAGATAGACTGGGCTTAAGTGGTGAAACAGTATGATTGGATTCAACGTCCTAGAAGTTCAGGCGGATGAAAAACAAATACGAGAAAAATGTATTCTCACTGGGTGAAGTAAGGACTGGACGAAGCGTGAGGTGTCACTGACTCAACTGGAGATACTGCGAACTAAGGTACGAAAGAATAAATTCCTTTGGTGTTAAAATCGTAAGTTGTTGCGTAACGGATTTCTGTTGCATTAAATTTTTTAAACGTTATTTTTGAAAAGATTGATGTGAGTGGTTGAGTAAATTTTCGGTTATTGGGAAGTGGGATCCGAAAAATCAGAGATTTCCCAAACAAACTCTTTGCCCAAAAATAAAAAGAGGTGTTTCTCTCTCTATCCCTGCGAAGTTCTGGAGCTGAAGAACCCTAATTCTGGGAAGTTGATTCGCAAGAGTGTGAGGTCCAACAAAGAGTAACGAAGAGAGAATAAAATCCCTAGATTCAGTTTCAGCATGGATCCAAAAGAAAAGAGAGAAGAAAAGGGTGAGGATCATCACCTTGAATCAGAGGAAGGTTCATCTGGAGAAGGAAAATCAAGTGAACCCAGGAAAGAAGAATCTTCAAACTCGTTTGTGAGTGCAGAAGAAGATCCAGAAGAGAACCCATCAGAAGAATCTCGCCGAAATCCGAGGGAGATTCCCCGCACTAGGAAGGAAGATAAAGTGAGCGAAGAGATTCAAGAACTCGAAAGTCCAGAAGAAAAGACGCAAGAAGCGGAGATACCCGAAGAACCACAGCAAGAGACAACCGAGATCGAAGATAAAGATCTACAAGCTTCATTGCCTCCGGAACAAGCTGATTCGGGTAAGCTCGATGACCTTTTTGTCTACCCTACTGACGAACTTGATGTGAGTTCGGATAGTGAACCTAGGCTGATTAGAAAAGGAGCAAAAAGGAGAGTAGATTTTGATAAGGACATGAGTGTTCAGCATAAGGAATCTAGGAAGGATGTGGTAGATACAACCAAACAGATGGATGAACTGCCCTCAGAACAGGTAGGGGAAGAAAAATCCAAGGATAATGCTGAACTAGAAGTTGTTGCGGACTCAGCAACAGAAACGGAGGTGCTCAAACCGAAAGAAGATGATGGAGTTGAAGTGAATTCCAGGGTTGAGCAGAAGAAGTCCAAGGCCAAGGTTGCTGAGAAAAAGGGAAAGGGACCTGATACACGAGTTGTTACTGAACAAAGAGCGAGGACCCGATCTCAAGTAGCAACAAAATCAGTGAAAACTGTCAAAAGCCCTGTCAAGAAAATCCAAAGGAAGATGAAATCACAACCAAGTTTGGTGATTTCAGAGAAAAAGACGCCTAAGAAAGCTGTGAAAAGGAAAGGTGAAACTGCAAAACATATGCCCCCAGCAAAATCCTCAAAAGTCTCTGAGGAATACAGAAAAGAGAAGATGAAGGGTAAGAAAATCCAAGAAGAAAGGGAACCACCCAGTTCACCCTCTGGATCAGAAGATGAGGAGCTACTGGCAAGCCTCTGCATGTCACATCACTTTGTTGATGAAAAGTCCGAACAAAGATTCAATGACATGAAGAATCTCAACACAATTGTTGAAAGAAACGTAAATGTCAGCAACTTCAAGGAGCAAGGGATATGGGACTTCTTAGAGAGTCTAGGATTAGAAGAAACTGTTACGTATGCTTGCCCCCACAGCAAAATTCTGATCAAGGAATTCTATGCTAACATCTCGAAGAAGATTGTGAGG